TTTTAAAACTCATTTAAGTTTATTTTAGCTTATGGTCAAATAAAAAACAGAGACTAAAAGTTGAACAGATATTTCCATTGTGAAGCTTCAATGAGTAAGTGGTAATAACTTAGGAGGTCCATGACAGCCGTGAATTAATTCACTTTTTTTTTTAATCATGATGAAATAAAACATTCCGATGTGCATTTATGGTCTCCTATTTGATATTCTTAGGAACAGCTATAGTTTGGGGTTTATATTCCAAGAAGAATGAATTGATTTTATTTCTATGAAAACACAGTTTATTTATATAAGGAACTTGATTCATTAATTTCATTACTTAAATCAATGTTTATGTCTGAAAACCCATATTTGAAATAAGATTGACTTTAGTGCAATACAATTGATGTTGAGAAGACAGTTACTCTTTAATGATTACAGCTTATTTATGCTTTTAAAATGGGGATAGTTTTTTGATAACATTGTCACTAACTGTCACTTGTCCTAATGATGAAGTGAAATTTTTATGTGTATTCCCCATTTTAATTCTGCAATTCAAAATCCTCTAGGGAAGACTTTTCAATGAATGCTAAAGCTTTGATATTTAGTGCTCCCTCTCAATGCCCTTCTATAGGTAACTAATTCTTGTGTTTTTTCCCCCCTGTCTTCTTGTCCATGAAAAGAAACTATCGGGAACAGAGGTATGTGATAAGAATAATCTGAACACGTAACTGAAAGGTTTAACTTCTACCATTATTGTTGGAATTCATACATGTGATTATAAGTCAAGTTCACTTGGTTTTTCATGATCTTGAAATAATGATTTTAATGATGATGCTGTGAAATATATTAATTTAAAATACATCTGTCATTATTTAATTTTAATGGTTCCTTTATCCAATAAATACTACAATTAGTGCAGGTTCTTATTTGTGTTATTTTTTAGTAATATATGTAGGAATTGATTTTTTTCCATCAAAAACGAACTTCCTCTATGTTAAAGTGTCACATTTGTTTACATTAGTATTGACATTTCTTCATGTTTATAACACTCTTATTGCCTATTACTTTCTGAGGGAATTTATTTTTTCTTACAGTTATATTAATTGCTTCCATTCATAAGTGACAAAGTTTCTTTGGGCAGTGTTGCTGTCAGGGAATGTTCTGGCACTTGATAAGCCTGTTTTTCTCTACATAAGGAAAAAATTTTTTTATTGATTATTAATCACACAGGTAGTTAAAGAATTTGCATAATTGGAATCTCTGATTGTCTTGTGTACTTTTTTTGAAAAAAAAATGCCCATAGAGAAAGTCAGGCATCCTGTTCAGCATAACCTTAAAATCCATGTTTAACCAACAGAATAAAAAGAGATACAAACATTCATGTTGTTCTATTAACAATTGCCTATTTTTATCTAAATCTAAATTGGAACATAATATTGGAATTCACCCTGCACTTTTCACAATTAAAAAGTTACTAATGCTACTAGCTATTGATAAAAAAAATTAAAATATTACCCTGGAAATTGATAGCCCAAACCAGGTCTTGCATATCATATAGTATTTAGTCCTATACTCAAGGTATTTATTCAGATTCCTACTTAACTTCTTCCATTGTCCAATTATGTGCCTGGTTATGAATAAGGTATAAATATGGTGATACTTCTTCAGGTCCCAACCACAACTTTCATTTTTTCACAAATCAAAACTTTAAACTTCTCTGTTTATAATTTAAAATCCCTATAAGACTTTAGCCGCAAGAATCTAGAGAATCTCTATACATGCCTGGTGCCCATGGGGTACCAGTTGAAATCCTGGTCCATGTGGATATTAGAAAAATTGAGCTTGCCCTAGAGTAACTAACTCATCATTAAGGGAAAAAGTAAAACTGAGACAAAATTAATTACATTTTAAAAACAATTAGGTTTCTTTATGCCATGTTTTAAAGTCTTTTCTCTAGAAGATCAAGAGGTAGTTAGGCTTTCTGTTGGGTAGAAGTTCTTTAGTCATATCAGAAATCTAAGTTTGGTGGCTTTCTTTAGTGAAAAATAGAATTAGAATAAGATAAAAAAATTAATGATTCAGCTCTATTTCCATAGTTGCTAAGGCTACAATGTAATTTAATATTATTGAATATATAAAAAGGAAAGTAAAATATCTCAAATATGTAACATAAGCAAAGCCAGAATAGTGCTATAAGATATGTTCCCATTAGAGATACTATCCAGAATAAGGGGATTGCCTACACTATACAAAACTGATTAATATTTAAAAATATATACTAATTTCTTATTCTAACTCAATATACGTATAGATATAGTTAAGAACATTTCACAGTAAGAATCTCCTTTATGTGCCTGATATAATTTCATGTCTCCTGGTGTTACTCAGTCATCATTTCATTGGTCTGGCTACTCTTTTGGAATCTAGTCCATAATTTGAGAATTGTCACATCTTCAGGTATTTATTTTATATATTTTGATATATTTTAACACAACCTTTTTTGTTTTTGCCCTTGCCCATAGCTAATTAATGTTAGGTTTATAGATAGTTCTCAAAATGGAGACATAGCAAAGAATAGACTTTAGATCAGGAAGTCATGAATGTGTATCTCCTAAAAGATTTTGCTTTTTGAAAATATGTTAGGGATTATAGAGAAAGTGGTAAGGCCAACAGAACAAAGCATGTGTTAATAAATGTTCAGTTTTGTAAAAATATCTGCAGACATTCAAATAAAGATCTGCCCAATTCCAAAAGATGCCAGGTAGTAGAATTAAGAATTTTGAGTTGTTACTGCCTTTAAATTAGGTTTTCCTTTGAGGGTCTATGGTGGGAGGACCAATCGACAACGAATCAGAAATGTGGTGTTGGGAAATCACTTAAACCTTCCTGAACTCTCAAATAAGGTGTTTTGTATTCTGTAAAGCATTATGGTGAAGGGAAGTTATTAGCACGTGGTCTCTGAAGACTGTGTCTCTCTAATCTTCAACTGAAAGAGGTGGATGTGGTTGTTCTCCCAGAGGAAGGCAGCACACATTGATATGAATGAGGCCCACACAAGTGGTTGAGCTGGTGAAAGTGTTGGTGAACATAAAGTTTTGCTTTGACACTAAATGCAGATAATAAATATGTAGCCAGTTACCAGATTCTTATTAGTGTTGTAATGGCTCAGAAATGCCAAGCGGGGCGAAACTTTCAAATTATTGGAGAGTACAGGCAAGTAACTCTGTGACTAAATCTGATAACCAGGTAAATTTTCCCTCCTGAGACTGTGTCCTCAAGGTTTTCAGTATATTGAAGGATTATGTTAATATGTTTACTTGCAAGTGTGACAGATAGATGAGAAGCTAACTCATTTTTTCTTTTTGTTCACAAACTCTTATTTAAAAAAAAAAAATGGAAGCCCCATTCTGTGGCGTAGTGGAGGCAGAACCCCACACATGTAAGACATGACTTTAAATCTGCCAGTGTCATCTTGTGAAGGGTAGAACCATGGAACCAAGGAGCCATGGAGAAGCCTTAGACATCTGGTAATGAGGAGGGCTCTTTATCCTTTTCTTTAAAATCTTCAGGAGAGAAAACTTCCACAGTTTTTTTCAGTTGATATTATTGTTTATATTATAACATAATTGCCTTCAGACTTAGCAGCTGTATGGTTTGTAACAAGACTTACAAGTGGGTTTTAGTTTTCAGGGCAGGTTCACAAATAGCAACAGAATAAAAAACATTAACTGAACTTAGATTCATAAAACACCCACATTCAGCTGAAATCTTATTCTCTTCCTTTGTCTGAAATGAACACACATCATTATGATTAATGAGAAATAGAATAATTAGATCATATCTTTCTGATCTGTGGGTTTACTTTAAGCAGAATCCTCTTCCCCCCCTTTATTTTTTCCTCTCACCTGTTTTAGCCACTTTATTTTCTGTTTGTGAACTTCCTGCTTTTTTTTCAAGCCTTTCTTAGTTTGTTTTTATATTATTATTTCAGTGATATTCATGCATCTGTCAATGTGACTTGGTACACATTATAAAACATTTCTTAAAATAGTAAAATAAGAATTCCAATACGAGACAAGGCCAGACACCAACCAAGCATTGCAGAAATGCCTCCTTCAGCATTAAAGTTAAGACTTGGTTAAATGGGTTTTTAAAATTTTTTCTCATGCTAAGTATGCATGAGGATCATTAAGGTAAATATTATAATTCAAAGGATACTTTTAGGAAAGATCAAACATCTCTCAAAATAGGACTATTTCCCTAAGGGTTTTGGGGTGACCCAAGAAATGGTCTTACTTAATATTTAAGTTAAGAATGCTAACATAACAACTAGATGATTTATAATTATGAACACATCAGGAGTTGGGCTGACTTTGTGTTCTGAAGTAGAATAAGAAAAGCAAGCAATAATCATGCGTATTGTAGATCTGGAGAGAAACAGTAATTACAGTTTGTATGAATCAACTCCTCCAGAGTCATTAAGTTATAGGAGTCAGTCCTTGTCTTAAAGAATAGGCAGTACCTTCGAAAGAATGTTATTTAATGGAGTGTATTAATTCAGAACACAAAATGAAATGCCAAGGTTGTGTAGGGAAGAAAAAGACAACCTGTAATTAATATAGGAAGGATCTTTTTTGAGGGAAAAAAAAACTTAGTTACACAAGTATTTCTTTTCTTTTGGTTACTGTTTACAAAAATATCATGGACACGTCTAAAGTATTTGCATATATTTTGAGAATTATAAGGTGATATTCCCATTATAAAACTTAGCACTGGTCAGGCAACCTACTGTAGTAATCACTTTTAGTGTCCAAAATTTGGTGAAATAAAAACACTCAAGATTTGAGAATAAAGCCATGAAGAAAATAAAAGACTAGAAAAAGAAGTTCAATTTAAACATTTTAAAGCTGTCGTTTAGTTGGTCATTTATGATCTTTGGTAACAAATGATGAAATGTTATTTGATTGATCACAGGGACTTGATATTCTCCATTTTCACTAAAGAAAGAAGAAATAGGTTTGCTATAATATGTAATAAATATTGTAAAAAGGATAAATTTCTGGACAATGAAGGATATTAAGTATTGTTCTTAAGAGATCTTTAACAAAATTCATTATCTACCATTGACATTTACTATGTCGAGAAAGTTATATGCATTCCTTGTAGAATTTTAAGGAGAATGCAGTGAAGTAGTTTCTGTATTTTGGAGACTTTGCAATGGAGATGGGTAAGAGTCTGATCTGTCTACAGTGATAAAAATGAAGTGGTGCCCCAGAGGTACATTAAACTGAAACTCCCTTCCAAGCCCTTGACTGAAGCCCACAGTTTAGAATATGTTTAGCATTTAGGATATTTGGGCACTTTGTAAAAAATGACCATGGGCTACAGAGGAGTTACATTGAAGGAGTGGTAAAACATGTTCTGTTGACAAAAGCAAAACTGGCACCCATGCATTGTGCAAGGCAGTCCATTTACCTCTTCAGTATCAGTTAAGTGAGGCCTTGGTAATTGCCAGGGTACATTCCTGAATGCCAGAACCATGTAAAGAGAAGGTCATTTGGGGGAACAGAGTAATGGGAAAGGTCATGTATAGTTTGGAGATCTTACATAATAGCTTGTCTTTATCTAATTTGAATTTGGCAAGACATATCAGCTTATAAAGATTATCATTAAAGGTGGTAGTGACTAAAAGGGTTTGTTAACCGTAAAGATTATTAATGGAAATGCAGTATTGATGGGATTCTTTTACAAATCTTAATATGATACAAAAGGGAAGTTTTTTACTTGAGGCAAAATATAGAACTCTGATTTTATTGCAAATATTTTTCCAAGCACTGATGAAATATTTTATTGATATGAGGTAAAACAGAAAATATGATTATAGGGATCAAAGATCTCTTGCATAGGAAAATATATCATTTGTCATGTAACACCCTAAATGATAGAGATCTTATGTTATTTTTCCTATAAAATTAACATTTCATAATAGATTGGGAAAAATAAAAGATAACTATTATGAGCTGAAGTCACTAACAGAATTAAAAAATATTTTGGAGGAACCTACATTAAAGAATGAGGTAAAATTAGTCTTTCATACTAATTTTGTGAGATATTCTGCTTTCTTTAGTTAAAATAAAGAGAAGTAGATTAAGTCACACAAAATATGTGCTTTATATGAATTAATTTTTTTTGAGATTTGTAGAGATCTGTGAATATATATTATAGCATTAGAAAAATATGAGAGGGTATTCAGTCATTCAAAAGAATGAGTAACAAAATATTTCAAACATTTACAACAATGTGGAATCAGTATGCAAGTGAACATCTGAAAGTGGTATTTTTTGGATAAAATTTTTAGCATCAGCAAGTAACCAAGAATATAATGGTAAATGAGAAACCACATAGGAAAAAAAGTTAGCAAATTTTTGCTTTTATTGGAGATTTAATGAAATATAGCTCTGTTTAAAATTCTCAGTCCAGCACTAGTTTGTGGCACTTCCAACAATAGTGCTGAATGGAACTGAATCAAGTTTTAGATGCATTTGGCTGTTTGGGGGCCGCACCATTGACAAATGATCAGATTAGCCACTGTAGGAGGGTTTTTTGAATGCGGACCCTATCTAGAAATTTCTATCTGATTACCTTAAGAGAAGTCATAAATATCTGTTCCAATCTTAGTTAAGTCAAAATCAGATGAGTAAGGTCAGTTACAGTGCAGATTATATAGATTGTCCCTTGTTATACTTCTGCTACAGTAGAGACAGAGAAATGAGGTTACCCACCAACTATCTATAAATATCTTTTATAGTCTCAATAAAAATTCAGTTACTTTTTTGAACCCTTTCTTCTTCTTGCTAAATTATCTTCCTTCACTGACCAGCTATAAAATTACCTTTTTGATTCAACTTGGAATCTTTCTCAGTTTCTTCATATTTCTGTTAAATGAAGTTCCAAATTGAACACCAGACTCAAATAAGGATTTATTTGGATTAAGTTATAGAATAGTTGAGATATCAGTCAGTTCTTTAGACCAAATCAAGGTTGTATTATATAATGTTTAGAAATCATGAATAGTTCATTCCTCACAGTGAAAAAAATCTATGCTTTATCTGGGCAAGGACTGTATATCCTAATACATCTCCTTTTACACAGTTTTGTTTTTTTTTTTTTAAAGACAAAACTGCAGTTAACATCTCCAAGTGTAATGAAATTACAGTGAAAACACTCATCTTTCCATATTTTTGCCCCAAAGCAAGCCTCTATTCATCCAAACTATAGACTTCAGTGATTGCATTTTCGACCTCTACAATTAGAATGACTTTAACTTTGTCACATTTATTAATAATCTTACGTGTTGTTATAGATTGGATTCATGTAGATCATTATCCCTACCTCTCTTTTTTTCTGATATAATGTTTGTATATGTCTGTGTTCATGTGTGTGTCTTGTTTTCTGACTCTGAAATGTTTATTATGCCTTAGACAGTTACCCCAGGGAGATTATGTAAAAAAGCCTGGAGATGGTGACTCTTTTTATAGCGACATTCCTCCTGGAGTCAGCACAAACTCAGCATCTAGTTCTAAGAAGAGGTCTGCTTTTCTGTCGCATTTTCAGATTTCTACCTGTTCCATCACACATTATTCCATTAGTCAGAACATTTCATTATTTTGCAGCAGGTTTGATTACTTCTTCCTTCTTTCTTGAATGTTGAAAAATAGTATCCTTTGTTCTTTGATTACTCTACTTCAAAATGCCATATGCTCAGAACCACTTGTTATATAAATCAGGCCACAAAATTGAAACAAAACAAACAATAACCCTGAATCTTCATAGAAACCCCAGAGTTTTCCAGTCTTGTTCTTACATGGCTTAAGAAAGTATCATAGAATTTAATAGTATTTTAAATGGTGAGCTTTATGTCATGTTTGGTAGTCAAAGAAAAAGGTTACTGTCATGCTTCAGTAAAAGCAGTTGTTAACATAAATCGTAACATAAGTGCCGCATTGAATATTTTTTTTGATTTTATATATATTAAAGCTAAGCTTGCTATGAAACAAAGATTGCTTCTCTGTGAATCATATATTTGAACATTACGATTTTGCCTTTTTTTTCTGGGATGATTGTTTTTAGACTTTATAATTTATACCTTAGTTGACAAATTAGGTACGCTTAATATTTGCCTGAGTTTTATAATAGTACAGGTGGGATTGATATTTATATGTCTTAAACTCTGATACTATATTCTTATTCTAGCATCTTAAGGTGTTTGACACCATTTAAAATTCTGCATGCTTTATAATTGCTTGATAAAGTAAATGGATAGAAGAAATAAACAGTTGGAATGTTTTAGGGAATAAGATCTATATTCATATTGAAGGAAGCTAAAATACTCTTGTGGAAAAATTTCTTTAAAGTTGCCAGTGGGGTATAATGGATAGGAAAAAAGTTTTGGTGACCCTTCTCATGCCTGGACACATTACTTTGTAGAGTGAAGGGGAAATTGCTAGTTTATTGAGAGGAAACATCAGTTCCTGAGTTCTGTATAGAGTGAATCATCTGTAAAAATTCTGCAGTGGCTCTCAATCTTTATCAATATTAATCAGGAAGGAGAATGTAAGGAATTAATGATATCTAGGAACTCTATGTGGAACTTCTTAAGTATGAAGGATAGTTTTTACTTAGAAAACAAAGCTTAAAACAAAAGTAGAAATACTCGTTTTGGCCAAGGAGTACAGTTCTGTAGAAGGATGTTTTAGAAATTTATTCTTTTAATTTATTGAAGACTTGTTGGCTGAAAGAAAAAGACAACTAGGGAACTACTTGAATTCTCTCATGTGAATATTTTCTTGATCAAATATTAAATTTTAAATTAAAGTAACAGCAAATGAATGGAGAATTCAACGGATTCCAGCAGAATTTCTATTGTCCTTTTGTATAAAATATGAGTCATTCTGTAAGTAGCAAATGATGTTGAAAAAGTTCCAGCCTAGGGAATGAATATGAAATAATTGTGCTGAGTTCCATTTATTTTCACTCATAAGTGGAAGGGTCTTTTTTAAATAGACATTATTAGCAATTAACCAAAATGATATGTGGAGAAGCCTTTTCAAGTATAGTGTTATTTTCTAAAGTACCTTAAAAAGAGCTTAAAATATCCATTTCAATAATTTCCAGACTTTAGAAAAATCTCAATGGGTTATAATTTTTAAACAGTTAAAAAATTCTATCAAATTGTTGGACTCCTAAGTATATGTAATTTGTCAAAATTCATTTCTTGTGTGGTATAAAGTAGGTGTGTAAATTTTGCTTCTTGTACATAATTCACTTAAAGGAGGTAGGACATAAATAGCAGAGGGGCTCAATGGTACATGGGCTTTGTGAGAGACACTTCCATGAAAAACTCCTGATTCAGTTCAGTTATTGGACAATTAACCAACATGTACTACACTCTATTGGACCGTATTTGTAGAGAAAAATGCCAATTCTCAGAAAATAATTTTATTATTTAAGAAAACCTAAATATTACTTTGATAAAGTAATCTTAATGTAATCTCTTGAAAGTCCATGTTCTCATAGTATTTGAATGGAAACCATTGCTTTACAATTAAGAAACATCTATGGTGGGACCCCATTATGATGCTGCATTGGGGTTATATAACTGATATACACAGTGAATTTGCCATGTGGTTGCTCTGTTCTGGGGAATGTAAATTGGCTTACATTGTGTCCTGATACTTTTCATTTATAGACTATTGTAATGGGGTTCCATTGTATTTGACTTTTCTTAAATTGAATGTTGTGTAATTCTGCCTTCTTCATGAAGACTTTCATGTTCTCTTCATTCTTTCATTTCAGATTTTTTCTTTCTTGATTTATTAACGCAAGTAATGCTTAGAAGTTTTGCTTACTGATTTCAAAAGATCCATTTGATTACATTTTTGAACAATATATCAATATTTTCAATTTCAGGTCAAATGGGCTCTCTCATTCTTGGAGTGAAAGGATTCCAGACACAAAACATATTTCAGACATCTGTGAAAATGGGCGACCTCGAAGTAACTCTTGGCAAGGTAGAGGCCAGTACTCTGAATCCATCTATCCACACAATCCAAGTTCTATATTCTGTGGTCCCTGGTGTTAAAAGCCTCGTTCGTTCTTGAAAGCTATTTAGCTCTTCTCCCAACAAAGAGGAGGATATCTAGAATAGGAGTTGTTTTTTTTTTTTTTTTCCTTGAATGGGAAGTGACAGGATTCGGTAGCACCCGTACGTTAGAGACATTGAGAAGGCTGTACAGTGCTACAAAGCCCAATGTTCTAGGGTGGTGCTGCTTATGCATTACACCCACTTGAAATACCATGTAATTAGACAAAGGGAAATCACTTATTTACTTGGAAATCTAGCTCTAAACCATCTTTTTCAGGTAACATGGGAGGCAACAGAAAGAAAATCAGAGGGAAAAGATTTAGACCTCGGTCTAATTCAACTGAGTAAGTCTGAACCTCTAATGGAAAAAGGCACTCTAAGGTCCTGTGCAATTAGTGTCAAAAGTTGATTAAGCAGACAAAGAACCATAAACCATGCCTCCAGTCTTGGTTTTGTTTTTTTTAATTCTTTTTTGCCCTTTAAGAATTAACCATGGCTTTTCTCTTTTACATAGGCATCTCCGCAACTGTGCCCATACCAATATTCACTGATAGTGGGGGTCACTCCCTTGCTACAGGCTTTTTCCTCCAGTCACCTGCCATTGTGGTGTTTTGGTTCCTTTTGAAGGGAATTTTGATAACATTCCTTTCTTCTCATCACCGGGTCCAGCCATTTCAGAGGGTCACCCTTCCGCTCCCCAATATTCACACAGCCTGGAAGCATCAGGGAAAAATTCTCATCGTACTAGAGCATGAACTGCTCACAAACTAAAACCACCGCTCCGAAGTCTTCATAGCTGCAATCTAAGCATTCTCTCAGACTAATGGAATAAGTTTCCCTTTTAAATTTTCCTTCTGAGAACATTTAAAAGGGCATTTATCTAAACTTGCTCTTTAACTGAATCATTGTCACTAAATGCAACATTATCTGTTTGAAATAATAGCCACACCTTTTTTTTTTTAGTGGAGGTGGGATCAGAAGTTACATTTAATAATAAAGTAAATGCCAGGCACTTTTGTTTGTTCATTTCTCCACTTAAGAAACAAAACCTCCTCAAACCTAATTTGCTTGCATTGAATAAAACACACTCTTCGTATCCTTTCTGACTGACCCTGCCACCTAGTTTTAATTACCCATACTTTTTTAATCCACCTAAAAATTTTCACTTATTTCTCACTATAGTGGTGGTTATTATTTTCAGGATCTCTATTGTTTCTTCATGCCTTAATACTTAAAAAGTCTGAATAGTAGGTATTTATCGACTGCCTGTCAAAAACTTATGTTAGCTTTTCCATCATGTACCCTGCCTTTTCCAGTCCAGGAATAATAGCATTGCCCTGAAATTTGGACCTTCCACCTGAATGGTATTGTTTTGTAAGTGGCTTGTCAAAGCTTTCTAGAGGATACTTTACCTTAGAGACAATAGACAATTTCAAGTGATACATTGCATGGTCCAGAATGGCATCCTAGAACTCCATCCTAAATAACTAATCTGTTAGAGTTTATCTTAAACATTACCAAAGCGCTTGGATGCTTTAGGGCTCATTGTTGATAAACTCTTCTTGGAATGTTGTTTGGTTTGTTTTGCATGAGGTCACATAGTCAAAGCTCCCTAACTTATCTCAGTGGCTCACAAGAGTACAAATAAAACTATAAAATAGTCTTTAGATATTCCTTGAAATACCATGTAATAAGACATGGCAATCATTTATTTACTATTTAGTGTTCTAACAGTATTTCCTACAACAAAGCTTTGAAAACTCCTAAGTAAAAAAAATTCAGTACTATGTTAAAGCTATGAGTTTAGGACCCAAAGAACATTTGGTGTTCCAATATTCATACAATATTTTATAGAGCAATCACTTATTCTTTTTAATTTTACATAAAATTTCTACATACATCATGTGATAAAAATTATAATACCACAGATAGACTTTGAGAAATCTTGCCTGTGAGATAACTAAGTTATATTTAATAAGACATCACAATAGAATCATCTTCGTGAGGGGGAAGTATTAAGGACTCCTTTAGATTTTTTAGACTTTTCTGATTTTGTTTACATGACTCATGTTAATTAAATGGAGCTGAGTCTGTGAAGCTGATCACTAGTCTCATATACCTTCTTGGATGAAACTGTCTCTATATATACATACATACATACACACACACATTTTCTTATAAGGATTCCTGATACAGAGCATATCAAGAATTATGTTGGCAAATTTTTTATACTTTTCATATTTAAGTAATCCCATTTGCTTCTGATGTAATAATACCATTTGTGTGACTATAAGAGGAGCAGAATGACCACAGACAAACATATCTATTTTATTTTTTTTTTAGAATAACAGGTATTTCAGGTCCATTATTTCAACATTCCCTCTAGTACTTCATCATTCCAACAGATGATGAAAAATCAGGACATGAATTAAAACATGCACCACAAATGCATGCTCTGTTAATTAACGAAGTAAAATGTCCTTGTTTATTGTATTGTTTTTCCACTCGAAGCTTTTGCATCTTCCTCACTGTTGTACATGATGTAAAAATTTTTTTGGCTTAGACTGTGTATTATATATTGTGTTTTTACAGGAGGGAGCCCCATGCACCTGAGCCTGGGCACTCCCTCGCCCAGACAGTCCCATCCCAAGGCATAAGCCCAGGGGGCTCTGACAGCCCCCAGACAGGGAGTCTGGATCACAGGTCAGTCTCCACCTGCCCGTTCACTCTGGGCTGCCACTTAATCTCCCTCCAAGTCCCTTCCTTGGCTGAGAACAGGGTCATATGATCTTTGACCAAGCCCCCATGTCTGCTTGGACATGCTCCTGGTCCAGCCAGCGCCAGCTAATTTTCCTCTGCCTTTCCGTCCTGGAGCATACAAAGAGCTCCCCTATCCCGTCTAATGCATTTTTTGCATGTTGCGCTATAAGCCAAGTTAAGCCACAAAGGCAGATTTACTGTAGTTTGATAAAATCCCATCACTGCAGCCACCACAACCTTGAGATGTTAGGAAGCCTACGGTGAAGACACTTTCATGCACAGATCCCCAGCAGGAGCAAACAATTGAGAGTTCTCTTCAGTGACCTCTGGTGAAGTGATCACAGCCTTCTGAAGTGCTCCCTGAAATGGAGGAAAAAGTCCATCGAGTGCAAGTCAAGCAATGTGGTTGTAAACTGTCATGGAGCATCCGTGGCACCAGTCCTTTGAGTTTCTAAGATTGTCAGTGAAAGGAACAAATGTCTCCTCCTGGAAGTGGCCGTCTGCCTGTGGGTGACTCAGTTTGCTGTGTGGCTATGTTTCACCTGATTACAGCTGCATGGGCTTTTTCTACAGTTTTCCCCAGGCCAGAGCATTCACTAGCCTTCATCTGTGGCTGCACTTGCTTTTTGACTTTTTTTTTTTGTTTGGAGTCTCAGTGGAAATCTTTATGCAAGTTTTAATTGGCTATCTCTGTGAAAGCACAAGTTGGCAATGATTGTGGCTAAAGGCAAAACTAGTGAGTTGTTCCTGAGTCAGGACACGTTATCTTAGCAAAAATGGTGTTAAAAGCATAAAAAGCAACTGAACTCTTCTTTCAGAAGGGAATTTCGTGGTATTATTTTATAGAGTACCTTGGTTATGACTAAAAATGAAGGAAAGGGCTATGGAAAAAATAACCTGACTTTTTGATGCCACTGTGGAAATGTAGTCTTGATTTAAATGTGTTTATGAACAGCTTGAAAACCAAATACAGGGGAAAGAAGCAAACTTTAACCAAAAACAAATAATGTATTTTATATGTTTCCCTAGTTTGTTTCCAAATAAGTTCTATAGAGCTTTTTCTTCATTGTGTATAATATCTCTAGAAGTTATTTTTTAAATGGGAAAACCCAGTAAAAACTCTAAAAGTCTTACAATACTGCTTTGTTAAATCTATATTATTTTAGAAGGGCAAATTCTAAGGGGATGTGTTTTTGCCTGGCTCCTGGGGTAAAAGATCAAAGGAAAAATTGTTGGGGGGAAAAAACAACAATTTGTACCTCCAATTTTACTGCCTTTAAAAGTGCACAGGAATTATGATGGAGACTTTGCCAGATCCATCAGGGAAGTGCTAACTAGGGTCATTACCTTTCTCTGGCAGTCATTCGCACAATTCATCATCAAACACATGGAAGGCAACTTCTGAGGGCCTTTTCCTAGTGGAAACACAAACAGTTTAGTCCAAAGTGCACAAAAGGAAGGAAGGAACATTGCAGCTGCAACTAAATTATTAAACCCAGCTTCACGATCATGGAGACCTATTTGGACCACACTTAATAGGCATTGAGGCTCCAAGATCAGAAGAGTGGGAACATTTCTGCTCCTTGCAGAGCCAGCTGGAGCATACTTTATTGTTGACTCCAGTGTGGGATCCACTATTGGGAGTAAGGTGCCATGTAAAAGCCTTCTCATACTGGAAAGAGAACTTTGCTCCTTTTAGTAGTTCTTTGGATGCTATATGCCTAAATACCAGCTTGGAATTGGAGCCAACTGAATATTTTCGAAAAGCACTGTTACCATTTAAAAACTAAGGAACCAAATGAGAGGTGGCCTGGAAAAAGCCACTTTGGAGGTGGGTGAATTGGACTGCTGACAGTACTGTGATTGAAAGCGAACTTCTGATTCACTTTGGGAAGCCACTGAAAAAGGCTTTCCCAGAAATGTTGAATACATTCTAGAATGCCTTGAGCCTTGTTGTAGCTCAGATTATTTTCATGTCATTGTATAAACTGCCTCATAATCACCCAACATCCATCCTGGTTTATTTGCCATGGTCACTTGCATTTGGAGGGTGAAGACATCCTTGCTAAGCTTGTGCTGTGTATTTTCAGATTTTCTATCTTGTTCTGCTTTCTTTGTTCCTTCCATTGCTTTCTGCAGGTATTTAAACCCATGGTTCAAAAGAGACTATAATGTAGCTAAGTGGGTAGAAGATGTGAATAAAAACACTGAAGGACCATACTTTAGGTATTTTATAAATTAATTTTATATCCTTTTCAAACTCTTCCAGCACATACAAATACTGTAGTGTGACTGGTTCTCTATCTTGTATCTCCCAATACAAGTTCCCATAGGTGGAAAGGTCCTTGTTTATTTGCTGCCTTTTGATCTGTTTTTGGCTTCATAACCAAGTCTAGTTCTTTTCTGAATGTTTCAAATGAAGCCATTTGAAAGGGTCACCATTTAGTGCATGTCCTTATCACCATCTTAAGCTTTTTAGTAGCTTTCTCTTCATTTTATGCTGTGTGGTGTTCTATGGGCATGAAACATACTTTCCACTAATAAAGAAGCGCTATTAACCCAAACAATTTAATTTCTAGAATCGAGCAGTTTCATAATGCATTTTTCTTACTTACTGCCTAAGAGTGCATAGTGCATATGAAAACTCAAGGAAAAACTGAAAAAGAAACTAAATGAAATGTAGTGGAATTTTACTTCGAATAGAAATAATGGTTGGATCTAACTGGAGAATTCTTGAAATAATACTGACCACATGAGAGTATGTGGAATGAGTTTAGGTTGTATTTGTTCAGAATAACCATTTGCTACTAGAGAAGGGCTGTGCTGAGAAGAGTGTTTTACAGATTTTCAACAAAGCATTAATTTTTTAATGCTCATAAAAGTGTCTAATACTTCAAAGAGAACAGAAAGCAGCTGTTCTTGACTCGAGAAGAGTATTCCCACATTTTAGAAACTATCAAATTTACTGAATTCACTGTAGCTTTGTGTAATATTAGGGGTCAGAGAGAATTTTCAAGAGTTCTTAATGGTATTTTTTTCACTGTTTATAATATCACAGTGATTTCCCAGGGATAAATGTCCACTTTATACCTGACTACTTTGTGGACAAGTAATGTAAAGAAGAAATGTAGATTCAATTACTGCCTTGTCTGAACATAATTTAACAATAAGCTTTCATATTACTTATTGCCATGACTTGGGTCAACATTGAACAGATACCAAAATATGTATGTGTATTTAACTCTCAGCACCCATATAAGGTGGACTCTCTCTTCCAGCGTACCATTTAGTTTAGTCACGTACAGTTTGAGAAAATGATTAGACCTACCTGCATTTTATTTAATTTGATCCATAACATTTGCATATACCCTAAGGAAAGCGTAAATCCTGCCTGCTCACAAAAATATATCCTGCTTTTATGCCCCATCTTTCCCTCTTGCCCTGTCCCTCTGCTTGTCCCACACTTCCCCACACTGAACCTCATACACGTACACTCACATCCAAACATCCCACCCTCACCTGTAGCTCCCAAGACGGCCAACGTCAGGAAGACAGGTAAGATGATTTTGAATGTTATTTGGAATCTTGGCTCACCTGCAGTCCTGTTCCTCCTTTCTGTTTTCCTCAGGCTTGTGGGCAGATTGTGATTTGTATCAGCCATAGACTCAAAACAGAATGACTTTGGTCCTATGTGGATTAGGGCTTTTATTCCTAAATGGACTTAGCATTTTCACAGCAATATTTTGTGAAATGGTACCCCGGAAGAGTTGATTCACCTCCCCTGGGTGAGCTGAGTAGTTTATGTGGCTCCCAGAGAAGAGTTCACATTTCTTAAAATCAGCACCCAGGTCTGCCCAGAAGCTGCATGACTAAATGCAATTTGGATGGGGAAATGCTTTAGCACCCCCGGTTGCACGTGCAAAGCTGCAAGGGCAATTCTAGAGGGTTTCTTTAGCTCCTCTTTTAATGTAAGATGTTGGTTCCTACCGTGGATAACACATTAAGAATTAATTATTAAAATAATGTATGAAGGCTAAAGTTCAGTGGATGGTTATAATTTAACTGTTGTTTTTGGATTAATAAGGGTTACGCTGGTAGCACTTTGAAAATCAACACAAAATTTCTGTGGCAGTGGGTGAATAACTGAGATGGCCCAGACCTTTTAACACAATGACTCCAATACAACAGAGAGAATTTCATCCACTCTCCATCCAAGCCGAGCCTCACATAGAAGGCCTAAAGTGCATCCACACCTTGGCCTATGCTTTGCCAGCCCTATGCTTAAGCTCAGATCTGCTACATCGGCAGCCAGATCATTCAAGATTACCTCTCCTGCCAAAAACATCAATGAGGGCAAAGGTCACCATATTAATCACGCAAGTGATGTTGGATTTGTGGCATCCTTATCAAAATGCAATCAGGACTTTGTGACTGCAGAAAACTGGTCCAAAATGTAACCCAGCATTTGAAATACAGTATCCACATCACTACAAAGAGCCAGGCAAATGCCTAAAAATTTTGAGCGGAGTGTCTCCGTTTTGCTGCCTATCCAGTTCTGATATGACAGTGGTTGTTCAAATTGTCCTCAGCATGTGTCAGGTTATCAGAAAGAGACAAGATCAGACCAAGAGCATTGTCTCACCACACCCACATCTGGGTGCAGTTCTGTTGGTGACAGTGCTTTACAAGCTCTTAGAAGGTATCCTTACTCTTGGGTATTATCCAGTTGATTACTCACTTCATCAGTGGTTTTTGAGTCAGAACCAGAATCAGAGCTTGGCTCTGAGTCCAAAATCTATTCCTTCTCCATTTCACCATAATTACTTAAAAGCAGCAGGATAGATACTGACTACTTAAATCCTATTCTAGGACACTTAATAAATCCTTCTGTATCAGCCTACTAAAAATTTGCATATAAACAAAAGTGAATAAGGTGTGTCCCTCTCATGTGACTGGCCTGGGTCTAGCCTGTCCTGGGGAGCAGAACTGAACTGCGATTGGCCTTACAGACCTGTCTGCAAAAGGCAAGCCCAGGAAGTCTGATGTAGCCACAGTCCACTGGCACACAAATACCTTTATTGTGTAATTCTAATATGGCACCCACTGTGGTTTTTACGGTTCTTTAAAATGTAGTAATGACATTGGTTAACATGTGTTCAAAGGTGCACTTCACTTTGTTAATGAATGAGCTGAGCTAGTGCCTGGCTTTAAGTGAAAGCTGGGTTGGAACTGCCAGGCAAGTAGCCAGGGTCAGAAAAGAGCCTGGAGGCGGTTTTGAAGAAATGTTTTCCTTAGAGATTTGGAGAAATTTTGAGTTTATTTTCCTTAAACTGACTTGTCCTGTTGTCCACTCCTACTCTGACTCCTGCTCTGGTGCTCTCCATCCCGCAAGATAATCACCATTATGCTGCCACACACCACGCAACCTCCAGGACGAGTTTCCCCTTCCCCTATTAAAACTGTCCTACTCAGCTTCTCTTCTTCCCCTCAGGGTCCACGGTGTCAGTTACCTCGAGTGTTAATGTAAGGAGGTGTACATGTACAGCTCCTTTGGAGTTCTGGAGAATACCTCTGGTTTTTGTTTTAACTCATGATTGTGCCCATGAAAAGATATTTGAGGGGAAGACTGGACTTTCAGCACCCCTCATTAGAACGGCTTTATCTATGTCCCAGGCTGGTCATATGGACACACACACTACAGCAAATTAAGAAAAAGATTCGTTTTGTGTGAGCCCTCTAAAGTTAACAAGATTTGTGTTCCTGACTAGCTTTCCTGAACTTGAATATTTTGTCAGTAATAATCAGGCTAAAAAAGCTGAACCTAGGTCAATAGCCCTCATTTTAGAAAGATGCATTTAATATCTAAATGCAAAAGTTTGCCCTCATTTTACACAGACTAAATTCGTTGTTTTTAAGATTATAATCATATTTAAAATGCTTTTCTAAAATAAATTTCATTTCTGAATTAGAGTAGTACATTGCTTTAATAGAACTTTAGAGGATTTGAAATAATAATAATCTTAGTTAACCCATCCACTCAGCAATGGAGAGCATGAATATAAGAGAAATCAAACAGCTGCTATGTTCATGCTACAGAGTGGTCCTGGCCTTTCCTCAAAAATAGAGGAAATGTTAGGAGTTACAGATTAAAAGTAAACTGAAACACTCTTGAATCTTAAAATCCATCCAAAATGGTCACTTAGATCTCAGGATAGGTAGGAAAATTATTTTCAAACTTTAGCTTGAATTTAGTGTCCATAAAATGGAAACTAGTTCGAAAACTGTGGCAGAACCAGAGCAAAGGGTATTATATGGACAGGAACCAAAATTTAAGGGAGGAAAAAAGACATCTTCATGCTGTTGAATGCAGTGTAGGCAGTGGATCTTGATCTACCCAATGCCACTGTCCCCTCTACCGCCACTCAACATTCCCAGGCTGAGGCAGTCACAGCAAATGAAGTGAATCCAACTGGACCATTAAGTACCTGTGCTCTCTGGCAGTGTAACCAGTTCAGCGATGTGGACCATTAGCACCTTGCACCAGGAATTGAGGAGTCATGGATGTATAGTGGTGACCTTTGTGAATGGAATAGCTGCTGCAGTTATCACATCTGTTTTCCATTGATACGTTATTAGTAGATATTTTTTACTCAGTTGTTTTTTTCACTTTAAAGACAAGTTAGCAATAAGTATGAGATATTCTAGTGAGTCCAGCTTACTCAAATATTACCACCGTACATGCAAAATCAAACAAGTACAGAATAATACCCCAATAGCTTACATAGAAATGCTGATTATAGCGACTAATCAGACCATTTTTATATGTTCTCATCAGACTTTGTTTGGCTGGAACTCTGCACTCCTTACTGCTTGCATGTTTACTAATTTATTATCAAAACCCCTGTATTTGCCTTTGTTCCTTCACAACTAACACACTGGCCTCTGAATGCATGAGTTTTGTGTAAACTGATGTGTGACTTAGCAACTAATAAATATATCAGTTGTAATATATTTTAAGATCTTAAGATATAATTGGAATTATACTTAAAAACATTTTTACATTAAGTGGTAAAAATAAGGCAGAGTATTAATATTTTGTATACTTCATTTACCATTATGAGCTCTTAGAATAATTTTATCTGTTCTCCATTTTAGCTTTTCATCTCTTCTATACCAGATTTTGTTTTTGGCTGTCTAGTTGAAAAGTATAATTCTTTGTCCTAACATTTAAATGATCCATTGCAGTCATGAAATTAGGAAGATAAAATTCCAGCATTCCAGTGTTGGGAATGACAATATCTTCCCAGTAGTTGAATCTTCGTAGTAGTGGCTTATGAAAGTAGAAATTAGAGTGTTTGTTCTGAACCCACTTTTCAGATATTTGAAAAAGATATTAGGCAATCACATGATATTTATTTCATATGTTCTCAACATCTCAGGACTTTATCTCCTGCCAAGTCTCCTTCTTCATCAACTGGGTCTATTGCCTCCAGCAGAAAATACCCTTACCCAATGCCTCCTCTTCCCGATGAGGAGAAGAAAGTGAACCGACAAAGTGCCAGGGTATGTGGAAACATCTTCATATGCTTACCTACTCATTATCATTTATCTATGAGTTCATGTTTTAAAAGAGTCACTTTTCCTTTTTTGTTTATAAGAAAATGAAAAAAGTTAAATTTGAATATTAGAAGATTCTTGGGGCTTTTGGGTTCAGATTATATTTGCAAAATAATTTAATCTGCATCGATATATTCTGGAGATACTTGGTATATATTAATTATTCATTGCTGTGTACTTATTTTATTATGCACTGTAGCTAATATAGTAAATCATGGAGTAGGCAAAACAAAGAGTGTGTTTTGCTGTATCTTTTTTTAAAGTTTTAATTATTATGGGTATGTAATAGTTGAATATCTTTATAGGGTACATGTGATTCTTTGATATAGGCATATAATATGAATTAAACAAATCAGGGTAATTGAGATATCAACTCAGGCATTTATCATTTCCTTGTGTTAGGAACATCCCAATTCCACTCTTTTAGTTATTTTAAAGTATACCCTAACTTATTGTTGATTATATTCACTTTGTTGGTACTATCAAATACTGTTCATTTTATGTGTCTATATCTTTACACCCATTAACCATTCCCACTTTATCCCCCCTTCCCAACCTCTAGTAACCATTATTCTACTGTTTGTCTCCATGAGATCAATTGTTTCTAATATTTAGCTTCCACATATGAGTGAGAACATGCGAGATTTGTCTTTCTGTGCTTAGATTATTTCACTTAACATAATGTTCTCCAGTTCCATCCATGTTGTTACAAGTGACAGGATTTTATTATTTTTGTGGCTATATAATATTTCATTGTGTATATGTACCACAATTTCTTTATCCATTCATCTTTTGATAGGCTCTTAGGTTGATCTCAAATCTTGGCTATTGTGAATAGTGCTGCAGTAAACATGAAGGTGTGGCTATCTTTTTGATACACTGATTTCCCCTCTTCTGGATATATACCCAGTGGTGGGATTTCTGGATCATATGGTAGTTCTATTTTCAGTTTTCTGAGGAACTTCCATGCTGTACTCCACAGGAGTTACACTAGTTTACATTCCCACCAACAGGTTTACGAGGGTTCCCTTTTCTTTACATACTCACTAGCGTTCATTATTGCCTGCTTTTTGATAAAAGCCACTTTAACTGGGGTGAGCCTCATTGTAGTTGTGATTTGCATTTTCCTATTGACTAATGATGTTGAGCATTTTTTCATATACCAGCTGCCATTTGTATGTTGTCTTTTGAGAAATGTCTATTCAGATCCTTTGTCTACTTTTTAATTGGATTATTTGATTTTTTCCTATTGAGTTGTTGGAGTTACTTACATATTCTAGTTATTAGTCCCTTGTCAGATGGGTAGTTTGCAAATATTCTCTCCCATTTTGTGGGTTGTCTCTTCCCTTTGTTGATTGTTCCTTTGTTGTGTAGAAGCTTTTTAGGTGATACCCCATTTGTCCAATTTTGCTTTGGTTGCCTGCGCTGTGGGAGTATTACTCAAGAAGTCCTTGCCCCAACCAATATCCTGAAGCATTTCCCCAGTGTTTTCTTTTAGTCGTTTCATAGTTTCAGGTCTTAGATTTAAGGCTTTAATCCATTTTGATTTGATTTTTGTATATGGAGAGAGATAAGGGTCTAGTTTAATTCTTTTGCACATGGATATCCAGTTTTTCCAGCACCATTTATTGAAGAGACTGTCCTTTCCCCCTGTATGTTCTTGGCAGCTTTGTCGAAGATAAGTTCACTGTAGATGTATGTATTTATTTCTGGGTTCCCTATTTTGTTCTATTGGTCAATGTGTCTATTTTTATGCCAGTACCATGGTGTTTTGGTTATTACAGTTCTGTAGTGTAACTTAAAGTAAGGTAATGTGATTCATCCAGTTTTGTTCTTTTTTTCTGAGGATGGCTTTAGCTATTCTGGGTCTTTTCTGGTTCCATATAAATTTTAGGATTATTTTTTCTATTTCTGTGAAGAAATCATTGGTATTCTGATGGGAATTACATTGAATCTGCCCATTGCTTTGGGTAGTATGGACATTTTAACAATATTGATTCTTCTAATTCATGGGCATGGAATATCTTTCTGCGTTTTTGTATCCTTTTCAATTTCTTTCATCAGTGTTTTATAATTTTCATTATGGAGATCTTTCACTTCTTTGGTTAAGTTTATTCCTAAGTATTTTA